CTGCACAAACACACAAACCTTGCACAGAGTAAGCCTAAGTTTTAATTCACCAGTCATCCCAGCCACACATTCCCATTGCCATTTACAGTATGGTGCACTTTTGCTTCTTTTTCTTCTCAGGTTCTTTTTTGGTCTGCTCGAGCTCCTTGCACCCGTAGAAGCTGGAGAAGCAGGCTGGGGAGCAGATGGGCTCTCTGAGACTAAGCAGCCACTTTCCTTCGCCGTAGTAGGTCAGCGAGCCGAGCTCCATCTCCTCGACGAGCTCCCCCTGCTGGCCTTCCTGCTGCAGGGCCAGGATTTCGAGCAGATCTAGACCTGTTTGAACTGGCTCAACACCCTCTGCGCATCCTAGAGTAACGTGGGCGCGGCTCCCCAGGGGCAGGGAGGCAGCAGACTCTACCTCCTTTTCGGCATCAGCTGGCCACAGCAAAAGCTGCTCCTCTGTGAGGGACACTCTGGCACCAACAGTGCGAGGAGTGACAAAGAGAGCGCTCAGTGACAGCTCGAACACAGAACCATAGAAATCTTTGACAGCCTGGAGAGTGAAAAAAAGGGAAATATAAATAACAACTTCTTAATTCTATTGGAAGTGTTCTCTCAATGCATAAAAAAAGTGATAAATGATAATGCCTACTTACACATGTAGCCACCATTTTGAAATGTACTTACTGGATTCTGTGCATACTCTTTGGCACCCTCTGCTTTTCCATAGTCGCAGAATTTTGTAGTGCAATGAAGGGTCCCTTTGGCTTGAAAGTACTGCTCCAAATCCACCTCCTTCTCAGCTTTGCCTGTGACTGCAAATAGAAGGAAAGATGAGGTGTATCTTAGTCATGGCAATAATTTTGCACATGTAATGGTGCTTAAAAGATGCGTTTCTTACTGGTGCATTTACCTTTGTAGTAAATGAAACAACTTTAAATACACTCACAGTCAATCAAGTGTTTCTTGAAGGCCTCCAAGGTGTCCAGCGTTTTCAGGAAGTCCATTGAGGTGCACCTAACCTTGTCCTGGACCGAGGAGAGAAGAAACCAGCCATAGAAAAGAGGAAGGGACATTTCCTCAAGTGGACCTCTCATGGCTTCCAGTTGGGCCTCCTCTAGTCCGCGCTTGGTCTTCTTGGTCAGCTGCGCTACATCTCTGCTCCATTCAGTGCGTGGCTCCAAAAAGACCGCAACGAGATGGTGCTCTTCGGCAATCTCCCCCAGGCGGGCCAGCCGATCCTGGGTGTGGTTGGTGTCATCCACCACCATCAGCAGAGGGGAGGCTGCTCCTGCACTGCAGCCGGCCAACACAGCCTCATCCAGAGCCTTGTACCCGTCCACAGATGATTCTGGACTCTCTGGCTTCACGCCATGGTCATCAGCACAGATGACAGAGCAGTGGTCTTTGTAGGCATCAGCTATGGCACGTGCCAAGAAGCTTTTACCGCTTCCTGGAAGGCCTCTGAGGACCAGAAGGGTACGCGAGGTCCGCAGGGCATCTTTGGTCTGTTCTCTTTCCAGGAAGGCAAAGGACAGGGAGCCGGACGCAGGGACTGTATCCTCTTCCTTTTGAAGCTCTGCATCGTTCTTTTCAGCTTCTGGTGCTGCCTCAGCTCCCTTCGGAGTATCGGACTCAGCTGATTTTTCTGGTTCAGCTTCTTTCTTGTCCTCTGCAGGTTTCACATTTTCGATTTCAGCTGACGCCTCCTCTTTTAAAGTCACAGCTCCTGTCGGCTTTTCTGGGGAAACCTCTGCCACCGACACAGTTCCTGCTGGTTTTTCTTCTCCCCCCTCCTTTGTAGGCCCGGCTGCGACATTACTTTCTGCCACCCCCTCTTTGACAACCTCTTCTGCCCCAGTATCCATTGTAGTCTTCAAATCTGTAGTCTCCGTTTTCACTTGTTCCGGCGCCTTCTCTTCTTGGCTTGGTGGTTGTGCATCCACTGGTTGCTGCAGCGCTGCTGGTTCAGGTAATGTTTGCTCTTGTGGTTCAGCCTCTGGAACCAATTCTGCCAATTTCTCTGGCTCTGGTTCAGGGGCACTCTCTGGCAGAGGTGTTTGCACAGGCAAAGGTTCTGGGGCATTCTCTGGCACAGGCTGGATGTTTTTTGGTTCTGTGTCTAAAGCTGCAACTGGGTCAGAGATCTTTTCAGATGACTCATCTGGTTCTGGTGGTGCCACCGCATCAGACACAGACTCCATTTCAGATTTTCCTGCAGGCAAGCTGTCCTCAATCTTTATTTCTGTTTTTTCTTCAGCCAGTGTAACAGTTTCTGTCACAATCAACTCTTCTGTTTCTTTCAAGTTTATGACGTCTGTATCGTGACCGTTCACTGCCATCTGCTTAGTCTCTTCATCAGCAGCTGGTGGCTTCTCAGGCTCTGTGGATTCCTCTGGTGTCTCCATTTTTGACACAACCTCTTTTTCCATTACAGTCTCCTCTGGCTGTGGAGCGTCTGACGCATCTAAAACCTCGCCGCTCTTTTCAGTATCCATGTCTGGCTTAAAGTCTGACTTTACACACCACCATGTACCTTATACAAATAAAAAACAAAGAGAAATTGTTCATTTAGACCAATGGTGACTGAACCCAACTTTGTCCCCAGCCACTACACCCTACAGAGTGCAGGATCTTACTCAGTTACACTCATCAAATTGGGTCATAAAAAGGTAATTTGGATACATACTAAGGCTGGAAAAGTGCATTATTCTTATATAAAAGATTTGGTGCAACAACATCTCTAAATAAAATCTGGCTGACATGAACTGGATCCAGTTTTATCCTGGGCTGTGTAGAGTGGCCTATTATTAAACATAAATAATTTATTTAGATAAAACATGCATATTGTATTTAACTATTTCAAATAATAATAAAAACAAAACAGAAAAATTCAATTGACATGAAAAAAAAAAAAACTTGAATACACTCTTAAATACTCTCACTTCTTACAGAATTATTTCAGAGCACATGCCCTTATAGGGTAAAATCAAATACTTTTATGAGGACTGCAGTCATTATGTCTTAAACGGGAAGTTAGTCAATACGCCAGATTTAAGAAAGAGTAGAGTTGTTGGGGATGTGGGCTTTTTTTTTTATTAATATACTGCACATGATTTTTCCATAGATTTTGGCAGTGGCATAACCTTAAGCTATAATGTCCATCTTTGATCAGGGGTGTTGTACTCTTGAACATATAATAGGGGTGGTGGCACCATTTTGGCCACAGTTCAGCCAGATCTTTTTAATTTCCATTTATTAAAAAAAAACAACACAAAGACAATGGTTTACACAAGCATGACTGCAAGAGACTGTATTCAAAGCTTGCATTGCCAGATTAACTGCGTCAAACCTTGCCAACAAACAGACAAAGGGTACTTAAGAAAATGGGGCATCGCGGAAAAAGTGAGGGTTAGTTCACAGCACAGCGCCCTGCACCGTGTGGCAGCTTATTTCAAATATCAGTGCAAAGGTTTGTTACCAAACACTAGACTGAACAGATGTGTGAAACCACATCGTGTCATGAGACTGAAGGGGAAGCGCTCACAAACAACCCAATCTAGAGGTAGAGATAAACTGGCTAATTATTAAACTCACTTTTTTTTTTCCCCAGACACAAACATAACCGAAACCTAACAGATGCAAATTTGGCAAATACACTTCCACATATATTGAACTTCATCCGTTATACAAGGAAGATACAGTAAATGGCGCAGTGAGTGAAGAGGAGCTGTTTTTTTTTGTTTTTTTTTTTTGTTTGTTTGTTTGTTGTTTAAAAGCAAGTTTGGACGAAATACGTTACACATTCACTTAAAAAATAAAAGGAATTTTCAAAATAAATGTCTTACGTCGCGTCCAAGTGAGCTCGAATGTTGTTTTAAACAGAGAAAATCGATATAGTTTGTAAATGTGTATGAACAAGCACAATGTGGCCAGCCAGGCGGGGAGTGGCGTGCACCTAACGTTAGCACACCAGACAAAAACAATTGAGCCTGGCAGTCTGAATCTGGCTACACCATCACCAGCTGCAGCGCCACGTCTAAACAACTTGCATGGGGTTTTTTCCCGTATACAAGTCACTGCACGTTACTGCATCAACTTGTTTTCTTTTTTTTTCTTTTTTTTTTTTTTTTAAAGGCTGTTTTGTGTTTTAAAATAGAAATATGATAGAGATGTAGCATACTGTACGAAGGGCTTTTGTTTGCCATAATGTCAGCTTACCAGTTAGGCTGCAGTGGAGCTGTCGGTGGTGCCGCTGACCACGCGTTTCTCTCCGGATACAATGACAACGCAATCCTTGGCACACACATGCACCCGCTTCAAAAGGAAAATCCCCGGGAGCGCGCAACTGGGCGTGGCCACGGACACGCCTCTGAAGACCGGAAGGACGCCACCAAGGTTTTTTCTAAAAGGACTACATAACAATAATAATTTGTTATATATCTATAATATATATATATTAATTTGTGATGATTTAAAATAAATTATTAAACAGGATATAGTAAGAGACAGTAGGGATAATATAAGCTCGTATTTAATCAGGATGGGTTATTACTTTCCCCATTTTCATGGAAAAAATAACACCTAATACAAAAATGGAAAAGGAAATGTTCTCCAAACTATATCTGAATAATTTGAATTAATAAACTCCTGTCTGGTACTATTTTATTTTTAAATTAAATTTTATTTATCAAATGTATATACTTTTTTGTTCTTGCTTACTTTTTTTTTTGTGCATTTGTTTGTAAATTTAGAACTGATGGTGTACATCTGTGCTGAACATCAGATTAGTGTTCAGTTAAACTGCATGCCTGTTTATTTATATGAGAAACATTCAGTGTGAAGACACACACCTCTTGAGTAGGTGTAAATCACATCCCAAAAAGTAGGCCACACAGACAAAAAGCTACAAGATACAAAAGGCAATGTGTCAGGGACATTTCCTCAAAATGTAACACAATGCTCATAAGCTTTAGTTACACTGTCTCTGATCTACACACAAACAATGCACTAATAGCATAAACCCTTCTGGAAGCAGGGTGTGTAAATCACACCATGCATGCCTGGTGGTGACAAATGTAATAGTGGGTGTGACAAGGGGAAGTTCCCTGCAGCAAGTACAGCTATGTATAGGGCCAAAGGACTTCATGGTTGGCAGGTTTCAGTATGTATATAAAAGTGTTAAAAGTAATAAAATTCCTCTGTATTTTGTATATTC